CTTCAGTTGGTTACCTCACAACTGAAAAGGTCTGAGCTCTTGAGGTTTTCTTTTTCTGTGGCTCTATTGTGCTGAGGACTTTAATTTTGTTGCCACTTAAAATTTATATGCATGAGGTTTGGACACTTTTCTGCTAATACTTCCAGCCCCCCGAGATTCTGTGATCACTTAGTTCAAGCTTCGAAAGTTTGTTTAACTTTGGTAAGTTCGTGACAGAGGTGAGGCCTACAGTGACAGCACTTAAGAACTCTAGTTCTTCAAATTCATCTGTGAGGCCTTTGATTTTGCCTTAAATCAATTGGCAGTTGTCCAGGACAAGTTCTTCACATCAGAGGGCATCCTGTTCCACAGCTCTAAATGAATCCATTTGTCCATGTCCATCTCTCACACTCTCTCCCTGGAGAGGCTCCCATGCCCATGGAATTCAATCAGTCCATACCATACTATTTTGATCACTGCAGCTTTGTAGCCTATCTTAAAATCTGGAATTATGATACCTCCAGCTTTGGTGTTCTTTCTCAAGATTGCTTTGGCTACTTGAGGTGTTTTGTGGTTCCATACCAATTTCAGTATTATCTGTCCTAGTTCTGTCAAAATGTTATTAGTATTTTGAAAGAGACTGCAATGAATCTGTAGATTGCTTTGGGTAGTATGGACATTTTAACATTTTAATTCTTCCAATCCATGAGCATAGAATATCTTTCCATTTGCTTGTGTTGTCTTCTATTTCTTTCATCAACGTTTTATGGTTTTCAGAGTACAGGTCTTTTATCTCTTTGGTTAAGTTTATACCTAGCTATTTTATTCTTTTTGGTGCAATTATAAATGGAATTCTTAATTTCTCTTTCTGCTACTTCATCATTAGTGTATAGAAACACAACCCATTTCTGTGAATTAATTTTGTATCTTACAACTTTACTGAAATCATTTATTATTATTTTTTTAAGATTTTATTTATTTATTTGAGAGAGAATGAGAGAGAGAGAGAGCATGAGAGGGAGGAGGGTCAGAGGGAGAAGCAGACTCCCCACTGAGCAGGGAGCCCGATGTGGGACTCGATCCCAGGACTCCAGGATCATGATCTGAGCCGAAGGCAGTCACTTAACCAACTGAGCCAGCCAGGCGCCCAATCATTTATTATTTCTAATAGTTATCTGATACTCTCTTTTTGAGAGAAAGAGAGAGCAAGTATGGGGAGGGGAGAGAAGCAGAGGGAGAGGGAGAGAGAACTTTAAGCAGGCTCCATGCCCAGCGCAGAGCCCAACATGAGAATCAATTTCATGATCCTGAGATCATGACCTGAGCCAAAATCAAGGGTTAGACACTTAATTGACTGAGCCACCCAGGCACCCTTTGATAGTCTTTATACATTTTCTATGTATAGTATCATGTATCTGCAAATAGTGACATTTTAATTTCTTCCTCACCAATATGGACACCTTTTATTTCTTTTTCTTGTCTGACTGCTGTGGCTAGGACTTCCAGTAGCCAAGTAACATTAGATTTTGAGAAAAGAATACATATTTTTTTTTTATTTTTTATTGTTATATTAATCCCCATACATTACATCATTAGTTTTAGATGTAGTGTTCCATGATTCATTGTTTGTGCATAACACCCAGTGCTCCATGCAGAACATGCCCTCCTCAATACCCATAACTAGGCTAACCCATCCTCCCACCCCCCTCCCCTCTAGAACCCTCAGTTTGTTTTTCAGAGTCCATCGTCTCTCATGGTTCGTCCACCCCTCCGATTTCCCCCCCTTCAGAAAAGAATACATATTTTAATCTTTGAAGTAACCACTAAATAACAGTTAAAATCAGTTTACCAATCTATATACTCCCTATGAATAGCACCATCATTTTTGCAAAGAGGGAGAATTATATCCTGATACAGATCACACTGACTTAAAACTAAAAAATTATCTGTTTAGAAATTTAAAGAACCTAAGAGTTTATAAAACTACATCCAAAGAAGTCAACACACTCATCTAAGTACAAAGAGAAACTGCATGGCAGAACATAAAAACTGCAAATATAATACTGTCTTTTGGTTTCTGCATTTCCCTAGCAATCTTTCAATATACTGTTGTCAAACATCTATTGATTTCCTTGACTTCTCTGCCACATACATAAAAGATCAACATTTCCTTTCTCTCAATTGCAAAACAAGCAACACTAAAGCATTTTAAATTGGAAACTGTATGCCAAAATAAGAAGAATGTGCCATAAATGGTGAAATAAGGGTTTTCCAGGGGCACTTCCCATCTTCCCCAAGAAAGCACAGATTGACTAGTATGAAACAGAATGTATGACTAGTCTGTAATGGTATGGGACAATCGAGCTACACTGTCAGGACAGAAATTCCTTGGGTTGGCCAATTTCTGTGAATACTCTAAAGTACCCTTCAGGGACTTAAAAACAAACAACTAATTTCAATTGATCAATTTAGCATAGACAGCCTTCCCCCAACACCAGGTGTCCATACCCTAGTCTTAATTCTGTCTGTTCCCTTCCATGGCAGACTGGAACATGAGACTTCCTCTGTACCAATTTATAAGTTATATTAAAAAATCTCTGGGATCTGCAATAGAAAGCTAATAATACTACAAGTCATTATGACACATGGAACTATTTGATGGAAAAATACAAGTCATCCCTTACCAATGAACCTTCAAGTAACAGTTCTTTGCAGTGCCTAAAACCCTGGTAAATTCATATGTCTTATGTTCCAATATTTTAACTTTTGTAATTGTTTATATATCAACCTCTTTGAAGAGATAAATAGATATCTTCCTAGAAAAATAACACTTGTATCCTGCACCTCAACTCCCTCTGTCAACCAAGGACCTAGCACCTTTAACAGCTCCTGATGGCTGCTTTCTCACATCAGTAAGTTGATGTGTTAAGTGGTCTAGGGTTTCACACACCCTCTGGGAGAAAGGTCAAAATCAAATGCATATAGAAATATTTCCAAACTCCCTCCTCCTTTTAGAGAGACTTTATAATTTTATAATGCTCCATTGATGAGGAAAACTACTTAACAAAGCCAACCTAAAAACATAACATCCTAATGGCTGAGGATTTTGTCGACTGGTAAGTAATAAAAACAGATTTGGCTATCTTCTCTGGAGTTATGATCAACACCAGCAGCTCTAGCACTGTGTACCCCAAGCTGGCAGTCTAAATGAGGGCGGAACACCAACTGCCTCTGTCCTCATACCAGAACTCCCTATGGTCTCTGGCTGATTCTCTGACCCCCTGGACTTTATATTAACTCATCTGATCCTTCCAATGCTGCCAGCATAAACTGAATGGACATCTAGACCCAGCCTGATGAGTACTGATCCCTTTTAGGCAGCCTAAATCCCTGTGTGCAGTAGGTAAATACAGTGTTGTGCCAACAAAACCACTTTAAGGATCTGATGTTCATAAAGATATATTTGTAAGAATCTGTAATAACTCATACAACTAAAATTGATTATCACTACAAAAGATTTATTTTCTTCTAATTATAACAAATGCCCATGTTTTAAAACAAGTTTTTTAAAATTAGAAAATAAAGCATTCAGTGTTACAATATTGTTATTTATATAAAAAGAAAAGTAACCCAACTTATAATCACAAAGGATATTTCATAAAAATGTTATGTAAATTTAATTCAATAACTCAAATATTTGAGCATCGACTATTAATAATAAAACAGACAAAAATATTTGCCTTCATGGAACTTACATTCTAACACAGGGAGATATATAAACAAAACAAAGTATATAGTATGTTAGCATGTTGGATGATGGTAAGAACTATAGATAAAATTTAAATCGGGGAAGGCAGTATGATGTGTAGGGGATGGAACTGGTAACCATAAGTAAAGTACTCAGGAAAGTACTGTCACCTGAGAGATGGTGACACCCAAGAAAGGAGAGAACAAGTCACGCAACTAACTGGGAAAAAGCATGCAGTGCAAAGGAAAAAGAAATAACAGAATGTACAAAGGCCCTGAGGTGAGAATGTTCAAGGAAGAGCAAGAACATGGGGCGCCTGGGTGACTTAGTTGGTTAAGTGTCTGACTCTTGATTTCAGCTCAGGTCATAATCTCAAGGCTGTGAGATCGAGCCCTTCACTGGGTTCCATGCTGAGCATGAAGCCTGCTTAAGATTCTCTCTCTCCCTCTGCCCCTCCCCCACCTGCTCACACCTGCTCATGCACTCTTTCTCTCTCCCCTCCACCTCACTAAAAAAAAAAAAAAAAAAAAGAGCAATAACGTCAGTGTGACTGTAGTAGAATAAGCAAGGAGTAAACTAGATGAAATTAGAAGGTAACAGGAAGCCAAACCATGTAAGACCTTAGAGGTCATGGTAAGACTTTTTGATTTTCCTCTAAAGAGGAAGGAAAGCCATTAGAGGTTTCAGAGCTACTATGTTGAAAGCATACCAAAAAAGGCAAGGGTGGAAACAGGGAGACCAAGAGACAGGTAAGAGAGAAATGAAGGTGACCTGGACTGGAGTGAACACTAAAAGAAAAAGTTCTGGGAAGAAATTCAGGAACTCCATTTTACATTTAAAGTTCAAGATGCCTTTTAAACATTCAGTAGAGATATCAAGTAGGCTGCAAGGTATAAGTGTGGAATTAAGGGAGGATACCTAGGCTACAGATTTAAAATTATGAATGAATTTATGTTATGCATTAGACTGAACATCACCAAGGGAGTCAGAATACACAGGAAAGAGAAAAGTCTAAGAATGAGTACTGGGGAATCCCAGCACTAATTGGATAGGAAGATAAGAAGAACCAGCAAAGGAATTAAAGAATGACCAGTGGGGTTAGAGGAAAACCAGAGGAGAGGATATTCTGGAAACCAAACAAAGAAAGAACTTTAAGAAGGCAATAGTAATAGATCAATAAGATAAAGACAATTGAATTAAGCAACAAAGAAGTCACCTGTGACCTTAATGAGCTGTTTTAGTACTACCATCTATGAAAACACATAATCAATACCTGTAAAGCTTTATGCTCCTTTTGAAGATCTTTTATTATATTCTGTTGCTGGCAAACCCTATTTAGAGATTCATCCTCCAATTCATCAATTTTGGACTTCACACTCTCCATAATTTGTTCCAAGTCATTAGCTCGTTGTTCATGATCGGCTGCTCGGCTTTGTTCTAACTGAAGTTCATTTCTAATAATAGACACACAATTGCTTCCCTTAGTAATAAAGGTAAATCACATCAACAAACATGCCCATCTAACAATATAATGAATTTCTAAAATTTCTTTGCATTCTTAAAATTTCCATCATATAACACAAATCAATAGGAGAAATATAGGGCACCATTACATACCTATTACTGACAGATTTACCTATTAAAATATTTTTAAACTTAATATTTAATCAAAACAGAAAATTTTTTTAAAATTTTGATTTAAAAACCAAAGATTCTTTTCAAGGCAATTATTTTTAGAATGCATACCACTTGCACATAAACAATTCAAAAGAGAATTCTTTCTATCTTCTTACTTAAGCTGCTGATTAGTTTCTATGAGCTCCTGGATCATGTTCTGTTGACGTGTTGTTTCTTCCACCAATGTTTCCAAATTCTGCCTCATCCTTTGTGATGACTGTTTGTCAAAAACGATGAGATCTACGTTTTTGGAATATAACACAGATGGTAAAAATAAAAGGCAAAAAAATTTTAAGATAGAAAGTTTTACAAGGAAAATTTTTTACCATAACAAGAAAGAATAGGATCTAGCAAGAATAGGAACAGCAAGAATAGGATCTGATTACCTTTAAGATCAGTTCTTTTGACTAGAGACAAAGGTTTTAGGCCATGCCTCATCAACAGCACATTTATGCTTTCCCATTCTGCTTCTTCCCGCTGTAATTATAAGCCACAAGAAAAGGATCAACTTTAACATATAAAGTGAAGAAACACCCCCTCGAATATAATTTCCTTGTTTTCAAAATAATGGAACTTTTTCTCCGAAGTTTTTTAATATGAATTTTTTCTTTTAAAGATTTTATTTATTTATTTGACAGAGAGAGAGACAGCGAGAGAGGGAACACAAGCAGGGGGAGTGGGAGAGGGAGAAGCAGGCTTCCCCGCGGAGCAGGGAGCCCAATGCGGGGCTCGATCCCAGGACCCTGGGATCATGACCTGAGCCGAAGGCAGACGCTTAACGACTGAGCCACTCAGGCGCCCCTAATATGAATTTTTTATGCACATATAATGATTAAAATTAAAACAAATTTCTAACAAAATTAGCAGACCAAAAAGAATGCAAATAAGCACAAATAATTACATTATATAATTCCATACTCATATGTATGGTCTTAATGGATAAATTAAAACAAAAACACCAACACCTTATAATTTCAGTGAACCAAACAGACCTTAGTTTTTTTGTTTAACTGAATCACACCAAGCCCTACTCAAAAGAAACAGCTGCGGGGCACCTGGGTGGCTCAGTCAGTAAAGCATCTGACTTCAGCTCAGGTCATGATCTCAGAATTGTGGGATCAAGCCCCACATCCGGCTCCCTGCTCAGCATGGAGTCTGCTTCTCCCTCCCCTCTGACCCAAGGTTTAAAAAAAAAAAAAAAAAAAAAAAACAGCTGCATATTAGGTCATATTAACTGACTAGTAAATTAAATACAAGTCACTCAGAAACAAGTATCACTTAATGAGTAGGGTCACACACACACAAAAAAAATCAAAACATCTGAATGGTCAAGACCAATAATGCAGATAGTCCCTTGTATAATGGACAAGGTCTAACTATAAAAAGGAGTCTGTCCATCTAGGTAACTGATTCTAGTAGAATCACTCTGAAAGACACTCCCAAGTTTTATATCCCTGATTCTAAATAAGTGCTTACTTATGCCATAAACCTGAGAGGGGAACCCTAACTCTCTAGATTAAGTAAATAAAAACATATTAATGGAAAGAAAAAGGTAAATACAATATTGTACATACAATACAGATAAGAATAAAAATAGAGATGGTTTTTTTTAATTAGACATTTAAATCCATGATAACAGTTTATAAGTCTTTTAAATGAATTTGAAATCACTGTGTGAAGTGACTTACTTTTTAAGTTATTAATGTATATTTGAAAAGGCAATTTGGGTGAATTTTCAATCAGTGTTTAAGTGCTTGAAAAATAAAATTTACACAAGTTTTCACTAGCGATGTATAGTATTAAATACTGTAATAGCTTAAAGATTAATAATTTAGGCAAAAGACAAAATATATATAAAAGTATTATTTTCCACATCTAAATGCCCCTAAACATTAAAGAATCTCTCAAGACAAAAGAGGAACAAATTACCCTTATGACTATGATAGCACTATTACTAACAGCACCAAATCTTTCCTTTTGACTGCTGACTTTTTCTTCACCTTCTTTATCCTTTCCACACTTCTTTTCCCTCCTACACTCTTTTCCCTTATTTATGTTGTAGGTCTTCTGGTCACAAGATACTTGACCCAGAATTAAAATTATTGAAGATATCTGGTTTAGGAGCCAAATGTGTGAACATCTCAGTGTCTACTATGACTCATAAAAACCAAGTACTCTGTAAATAATGTCACACTTTTTTTTTAAGATTTTATTTATTTATCCGACAGAGAGAGACACAGCAGGAGACGGACCACAAGCAGGGGGAGTGGGAGAGGGAGAAGCAGGCTTCCTGCTGAGCAGGGAGCCCAATGCGGGGCTCAATCCCAGGACCCTGGATCATGACCTGAGCTGAAGGCAGATGCTTAATGACTGAGCCACCCAGGAGCCCCAGTGTCACACATTTTGAATGATCAAATGATATATATATATTGTTCTGATACCTCTTTTGAGAAAAGAATAATGTAACTGAAAATTCTTGAAAAGCGCTAAGAATGATATTTTCTAAAGTATGTGCTACAGAACACTAATGAAATGTTCATGAGATTAATGTTAAATAAACAGGAAATACTGTATGCTAAAGCCTCCTTATGAATAGTATTGTGAAGTCTCAGAATAATGAAATCATTAAATAATCTTTAACCCAACATTTCCCCAAATTATTTTACTAAAGAATCCTTTTAAGGATTTTTAAGATTTTTCACATATGTAGATGTAGTATTCTTTGGCACATACTTCAAGAAACACTGGGTCAAATATTTTGTTTACCTGTTTTTCAGTCATGAGTGTGTTTGATGATTTACTGGACTCCTAGGCTTTAGGGGCTGCTGGAGATATATCTTTTGTGAAATCAGAAGAAGTAGACTGGCAAGAAAAAATATTCACGTTGTCTAAATGAAAAAAGAAAAAGTGCAATAGGTGTTAAAGGAAATATTTAAAAGAACCTATAACTCTTAGGCAATTTAAGCCATTCCTGTGTCAAAACTTGTATGACTTCTTAGAAAGCTGATCTTAAGAATGATTAGAATAAACGCTATCTTAGTTCTCCTCTAGAAATAAAACATTATGGGTTTTACACACACACACACACACACACACACACGAACTATCTGTTTTAACTAAATGTGCAAAGCATGTGCTACTAATAAATAAACTGCTCTCTTTTGGAAACTGCTTCCTGAAAAACTAAAAAAACCATACCTGACCCAAAGTTACAGGCCAGTTTAACAATTCACTGGACTAACTCCAAGGGTAAATGCAATGCCACTTTCTTAGGTAGTCTTTATTTCTAAGTAGATCAGAAGCTAGCAAAAAGGATTCTGTGTGACTGGCAGACACAAAAATTTATATTCAGTCTACCCTACCATCACTTCTTCTTGTTATCTAAGACTCTATCATCCTACAGGAAAAAAATTTCTTGGATTGTTTGACATGTAGGTATAATTCCTCCTTTCAAGAGGCACAATCACACACATTCATTAGCATCATGAACTTTTAGATCTTTAGCAGACCTTGGATATTGTTTAATCCAAAATCCCTAGCTGTTCGTAGCTGGCAGAGAAACATATGGGAGAGCTGTAGCAATACAACAGGTACAACCATCTGACACCCAGAGAGGTGAAATGATCTTTTCAGGATTAATAAGAAAAGAAGTAGGTCTCCTGGCTGCCAGGTCAGTATTTCTTCGAAAGCATCCTTCTCCCCTTTTATGCTGCTTCAGATAGCGAAATCCAACTAAACAATTTACCAGTCACCCTTAAGTCTGGTCTATGGGGTATAGTCTTTCCACTTTATTTTCAGATAAACCTAATAACATGTTACAAATTCTCAAATTCTGCCACTTTTGTGCTTGGTATCATACTATTTCCCCTTTAAGCTTTGGTCTCTTTCAACAACTCAGTCACCCACAATGTTAATCCCTCCTGCTTTTACAAATCTTTCAGTTAGTTTTAACTTTTCATTAGAGAAATTTTCAGAAATACACAAAAATAGAGAAAGAGTATAATAAACCCATGAATATAGCTTCAGTGAAAGCCAGTATTTTTCCATTCTTATTTCTTCTTCACACTCTTATTTCAGTATATATCTCTAACAAATACAAATTTTTTAAACACAATTTCAATACCATTATCACACCAAATAAAATTAATAATTTCTTACTATCACTTAATACCTAGTCCAGGTTCAATTTTTCCCAAAATGTCTTTTTTATTTTTTTTCCAAATCAGGATCCAAACAATGTTCACATGTGGCACTCTAAAGTTTCTTTTAATCTACAGCAGTCCTATCCCCTTTTTGTTGAAAAAATAGGCCATCTGTCTTGCAAAACTCCCCCTATTTCAGATTTGTCTTACTGTATTCTTGTCTTTTAGCCTATTTCTCCATCCCCTATATTTCTTGTAAACTGGTTACATTTAGAGGCTTTATTAGATTCAGGTTCAGTATTTTCTGGCAAGAATACTTCAGAGGTGGTGCTGTGTTCATCCTACCATATTCACCATCAAGGGTCAATCAGCATTTTAAAGTGGGAAGAATACTCCCTTATAGACCAGACACAATGGTGGTAGATATCAATGTAAGATACTCCCCCAAAGAGTGTGGAGCCACATATTCTGACAACCTCCCTAACTACCACACTGGACCTCTTTCAAATCGTCAAAATGTCATCTCTCTCCAGATTCAAGGCCTGGCCACTCTTATCCTATTCTTCACTTAGTTAACTTATACTTGACCTTCAGATCCTGGCTCAGATTTCTTTCTTCAGGAAAAACTCCCCTAATCCCATGACCAGATCAAGTCCTCTTGTTATATGTTCCTGTAGCACTATAAAGAGTAAAGTATAGCAGTTTAGCATTCAGAGTCAGATAGCCTGAGTGACTACTAGCTTAACTATTTATTAAACTATATATGACATTGACAAACTCATTAACCTATTTGAGCACTGATTTCTTCATCTGTAAAAGAAAGAATACAGTAATACTTACACCTTATGGGTTAAATTAAGTCAGACAAGTAGAAAGTACTTAGAATGAGATACCTGGCATATAGAAACTTATAGATAAGTGGCAGTTGTTACATAAAAAGTATGCTAAACAAAACGGATCTTACCTAATCATAGCATCATGTATTAGCTTAGATGTTTTCTACAAATTACCCAGATAATGACCTCATACATCTGTTTTACAAAAATATGTCTAGGTAAGACTAAATTCCATGAGATAAGTAGTCTACTTTTGGTAATGGTGGAGTAGGCAGCTCTGTCTCCAAAGGGCAACAAAAAAAGCTGAATAAAGTACATTAAACTCAGGGTGCCTGGCTGGCTTATACGGTAGAGCATGCAGCTCTTTATCTCGGGGTCATGAGTTTGAGCTCCATGTTGGGGGTAGAGGTTACTTAAAACTAAAAAAAAAAAAAAAAAGACATTAAATTATTTTTCTTACAAGCATTAAAGGACTAACACAATAACGAGGAATTACCAGGCAAAAAATCGAGGAGATGAGAACCCACGTTTTCCCTAAAGGCATTTGGAAATCCAAAGAAAGAGCTGTGAAAATGCCGCACCCCACCCCCCCATTTAAAATTTTCCTGTAAGGACTACAATGCTCAGGGTAAGGGTTAACCAGAAGTAAACTATATGTCCCATTAACTGAAACCTGGTTTCCTCTCCTCTGAGTCATCCAATATCTCAAGAAGGTCTCAAATTAAACTTTCATGGGGCACCTGGTGGCTCTGTTGGCTAAGCATCTGCCTTCAGCTCAGGTCGTGATCTCAGGGTCCTGGGATCAAACCCCACTTTGGGCTCCCTGCTCAGTGGGGAGTCTGCTTCTCCCTCTCTTTGCCCCTCCCCTGCCCTGCTGTGCTTGCTCTCTCTCTAATAAATAAAACTTAAAAAAAAAAAAGTGCTTCCCTGCACCTGGCAGAAGCAAATGAAATCTTCTCTGGAAAAAGGCCTTAAATTATCCCCACCAAAAAACATTTCAAATACAACATCCAGCAAACAAAGATAACCAAGGCATACAGAGACAGAAATAACAGTCAAAAGAAACCAACTAAGAAAGGAGGACTTCTGGTATTGTAATTATTAGGCAGAGACAATAAAACAATTATGCTGACAATGTTCAAAGAAATAAAAATCAAAGCCTGAAACTTTTGGCAGAGAACTGTAAACTGAAAAAGAAACAAAACAGATTTGAAAAAGAATAAAAATTTAGAACAAAAAATTACAATAGCTGAAAGTAAGATCTCAAATCACAGGCTCAACAGCAGATTAGAAAGCAGAAGAGAAAATTAAATGAACAAATGAAGGGAAGGTAGAACAGACTCCATCTTTTTAGTTCTCTATGCTACATTCAGGAAAACACAGCAGACATTCTACTTCAAATGGAGAGGATACATGCATAACTGGCATCCAAGAAATAGAGAAAAAATGGAAAAGCAGGATTTGAAGACATAATGGCTAAGAAGTTTTGAGAGCCAATGAAAGACATAAATCCACCGATTCTAGAAGCCCAGCAAATGGCAAACAAAATAGGGAAAATAAAAATCACACCTAGGCACATCATATTAAAGTACAGAGAAATAAAGACAGAAAATCTTAAAAGCAATTACAAAAAAAAAAGATTATCTTCAAAGGAGTAACAGTTGAAATGTCAGCTAAATTCTTAGCAGTAATAATGGAAACTAACAGTGGACTAATATATACGATGTGCTGAAAGATCTGCCAATCTAAAATTCTAAATCTAGTGAAAATATCCACTAATAATAAGGGCATAAGACATTTTCAAACAAACAAAACAAATCTGACATCTATTCTATAAAAAATTCTAAAGGAGATGCTTCATGCAAAAGATTCCTTGATTAAAAAGGCATAAATGCAGAAAGGAATAAAGAGCAAAGAAATGAATACTGTAAAGAGACACTGACTACATAAAATAAGGTCTTGTGAAGATTTAAAAAGATAGCTAAGGGGCCCCTGGGTGGCTCAGTTGGTTAAGCATCTGCCTTTAGCTCAGGTCATGATCCCAGGGTCCTGGGATCGAGTCCCACATCAGACTCCCTGCTTGGCAGGAAGTCTACTTCTCTCTCTCCCTCTGCCCCTCCTCCCTGCTCGTGCTCTCTCTCTCTCTCTCGCTCTCTCAAATAAAGAAATAAAATCTTTAAAAAATAAATAAATAAAAATAAAATATAGCTAAAATGCACATAACAAAATGTATTAGCTGGGAGTAGGGTAGAGTAACAGTGTTCTAATTTTGTTTATAATTCAGGAGGAAGATAAAGGTATCTCTTAATATCAGTATTTTGCAAAATAAGGATGTTTAAGAATTTCTGGAATAGCCACTAAAGAACAGAACTCAAGTGTGTAATTTCCTAAAAGAAAAAAAAAAAAGGAGCCATGAGGATGAATAAAAATAAATCTAAAAGGAGAGAAACAAAGAACAAATAGAACAAAAGAAATATATATTTAAACTCACATCGGTAATTATATCAAATGTAAATAGATTAAATGCTCCAGTTAAGATTAAAAAAAAAAAAAGGTCAAACTACATGTTTTTAAAGGAAAAAAGACAACTAAAATATTAAAAAGCCATATAAAATATAAATATACAAAATGGTAAAAGTAAAAGAATAAAGAAAGGATTGATGGCATGGTTAGAGCAAAGTTTTTTAATAAAACAAAAGCAACTAGGTAACAAAGAAAAAAACCAAAGAACAGTATTTGCATCAAAACATAGTGACAAATTATTCCCCACAAACATCAAAATATAAGTAGGTGGGGATAAATCACTAAGAACTGCAATCTGTCAGCATCTGTGTAAGAAAACAAACAAAAAGCACCAGGCAGTATTTAAGTCATAAAAACAGGAGGATTCCCAAATCATTAGTATTCACTAATATTCACTATTGCACTAATATGATAACAGGTGAATCTGGAAGGGGTTTTGTCCTTGTGCCATAAGAAGGATTGCAGCTGCTAGAGTCCTATGAACACTCAAAACTGACATGCAAGAACTCCAAGACAGGGCCCACAGTTAGAAGAAACTTCTGGGAATGGAACCAAAATTGAGCAAGACAGAGACAAGAGAGAGGAAGGGAAAGTTGAGATCAAAGTGGATTGGGTAACAGATCCAGGAAATCTCAGAAAACAACCTGCCATATTTTTTAACACTACACAAAAGCAACAGAAGAGAGAAGTCTGAGAAATCAGAAAGACTTTCCTGAATTCTGTCCCATTGTAAAAGTTCAGAAGGAGAGGATTCTGGGAAGAATGCAGAGTAAAGAGTACCAGGAATTTGTCTCACCATGTAGACAACAATTACACTGGCAGATTCTGTCTCAAGTAACTATTTTAGAACTCTGTGGAGTCTACTGAGGTTTGCAAATTCCAGAGAAAACTAGAATGATAATTTGTGGTTAATTACAATTTTAGCTCTTAGCACAGTAACAAATACCCATTCCCACCCCCATTCCCACAACTGGCAGCTGTACACAGCATACCAGGAGCAGCTTACCCACAGTTTGTGTAGGGTGAGCAAAAGAACGCTTTGCTCCAAATATCAGGGTTCTGTGATCTGATCAGTGATTACTGCTTCTAACTTCAGAGAAGTAAAGAAGCTAAAGTGACTTCCAGGAATTTTAAAGGGCCATCATCCTTTTCTTCTCCCCTTCATTGTTCTGTCTTGCCCCTTTTGGGAGCCAGACATTAAAGACTACACAATTAAAAGCAAATGCACATTTGGGAAATTGAAAAGTCACGGCACATGCTGAGTGAAAAGTGCAGGCTGAAAAAAACCTGAGAAGACCTTAAGTTTACACCTCAGGTTGATTCTTGGCACAGAGACAGCCTATAACAATCAAAAACAAAAACAAAACCCAGCAAACCTTGGTGAAGAAGAAGAATCTGATTTTCAGAATTACCACATTATTAGATTCAAATGTCCAGTTTCCAACAAAAAAGTAACAAACATGCAAAGCATCAGGAAAGTATGGCCCATTCAAAGAGAAAAAAAAATCAACAGAAACAATCCATGGGAAGGAAAGGAAAAAAAAAAAAAAGGAAGACTTGATGGCAGATCTACTAGACAAAGACTTTTAAACAATCATCTTAAAGAAGTAAAGGAAGATGTGAAAACAAACAATATATGAACAAGATGGAAATATAAATAAAGAGATGAAAAACCTAAAAAGAAATAAAAAAGAAGGGCAACTGGGTAGCTCAGTCAGTTGAGCATCCAACTCTCGGTTTTGGATAAGGTCATGATCTCATGGTCATGGGATCAAGCCCCACATCAAGCTCCCCACTCAGTGGGTAGTCTGCTTGAAAGATTCTCTCCCTCTTCCCCTCCCCCCACTCTTACACTCTCCCTCTCTAAAATAAATAAATAAAAATCTTTAAAAAAAAATAGGGGAAGGAAAGAAAAATAAGATAAAAACAGAGAGGGAGGCAAACCATAATAGATTCTTAAGGATAGGAAATGAACCGAGGGTTCCGGGAGGGGAGGGGGGTAGGGGGATGGGGTAACTGGGTGATGCCAATGAAAAAGGGCACTTAATGTAATGAGCACAACTTGATGTATTGTAACTGATGAATCATTAAATTCTCCCCTGAAACTAATAATACACTATATGTTAACTAAAGTGAATTTAAATTAAAAAAAATTTTTTAAAGAAAAAAAATTTAAAAAAAGAATTATATAAGTTTATGTTTTGGGGCACACATGTATAAACATGTGATCGTGTAACATCAACAACTGAAAGAGGTGGGGATGGAACGTAAAGAGCGGAGTTTTTGCATGTTATTTAAATTAAGCTGTTATAAATTCAAC